AAGACAGAAAAAAAAACAGAAAACAGAAAGGAAGAGGCCCGAGGGTTAGATAGAAAACATCAAACTTCATCACTGCATAACAAGGGGAGAAATATGAGGGCCGAACCAATCCACGCGTCGAACACAGCACTGCCAGTCGATCGGCGGTTTGATGTCCCCGACTATCTCCCACCGAGAAGTCAAAGCGAGGGCGACGCCCCGAGTTAGAGAGGGAAGAACATCAGAAAGCGATGAGAAGGCGGAGAGGCGCAGGGGTGCCGAGCACCCCTCGCGCCCCAGGCCTCAGTGGCGTTAGAGAGTAGCGACACGCGCACGCACAGGCACCGCACGCGTTGCACACAGGAAGCGAGTCTGACCACTTGGGAGAAGCGCCGCAGGCCGAGCCCGAAGCTGAACCTGCGCAGCCCGGAGTACTGCGGAGTGCCGAGCGAGAGGTTGTCGGCCGACTCCGCGTCCTCGGAGCAGGGCGGCGACAGCTTGAAGGCCGGCACGGAGGGCCAGTGCTCGGGCATGTGCAGGTGCAGGAAGGAGGACAGGCGGCGCCGGCTGAGAGAGAGCCCGTGGCCGAGCCCGTGCAGGGCATGATGGTGGTGGTGGTGGTGATGGTGGTGGTGGGAGTCACGGTCCTGCTGGCCGCCGACGGTAAGGTGCTGGAGGTGGTGATGGTGATGCAGGAGGCCGACCTCCCCTGAGGCCGACGGCGAGGTCGGCAGGGGCGACGGCGAGGGCGTCGCATCCGCCGAGGTCTCCCCCTCCTCGTCGCCGCTGTCCCAGTCGATGGGCACCGCCACGCTGCGCTCGGCGCGCGCGTACCGCGAGCGGGACTTGTCCTCCCAGCTGTGCTTCGGCAGCGCCAGGAAGCGCACCTTGAGGTCGGTGCGCGACGCGCTGTCGGAGGCGGGCGGCGGTGGCGAGGGCGAGCGCGAGTTGCACGCCGACGACGAGGGTGTCGGCGACACCGACTGCTCCAGGGCCAGGCGGTGCGCCATCAGGGGCGAGGCCGGCGCGGAGACGGACACCCGCCGCACCAAGCTCCGGCGTGCAGGCTTGGGAGGGCACGGCGACGGCGACCGGCTGCGGGACGGCGACGGAGGCGTCTCCCCGGCCTCGGCCGCGCCTTCCCACCCGGAGAGGTCATCGACGGGCCACTCCGCTGCCGCCTCCGAGGCCACGCCGTTGGGCGGCGCTGCTCCCACGTCCTCGACGGCCGGCATCTTGCTGGCCGGCGTGCCCGGGCCGAGGCCGTCGAAGGGCGCGTTGCAGGTCTGTTCCATGGGAACGGGTCCGGCGCAGGCTCATTGGACGAGGAGAGGCGCTTGGGCTGCGTGGGGCCAGCGCAGAGAGGGACAGAAAGTAACGTTGTGTCACGGGCATGAGAGAGATAGAGAGCAAAGCTGCCGAAGGCAAAGGCAGACGACAAGGTAGCGGGGATCGAACCCCGAGTCTTGAGCCCCAGTGTGTACATGTTTCAAGTGCGAGCGAGTGAGAGAGCGCCATGCAGACACTGCTCCGTCCGCACCGCGCTCTCCGCGCCGATAGCAAGATAAGCCCCACGCCACCTCGGCAACACGTTGGCGCGGTACGCGGACGACGACGAAGGGACCAAACGGAAGTAAAGTGGCTGATCTGGCAAAACGGCCATCGCATCGCGCAGCACTCACTCCGTCTGCAGTACACAACCGCGCCCCCTCTTCGGCGCAATTGAAAAGAAGCACGCGCCTGATGAGCTAAAAATAATGGCGGCTTCGATATCGATATCCACTCGGCTGACCGTGACCCAATCGCAGTCGGTTGTAAAGTAAACACGACATGACGCCCTGCTCCCCGCGGCGGCTCCGGGGCACTGAGTGGTCGCGGGTCGCAGGGGACTCTGGGCTTACTCGCTGCGCGGCCCTGAAAAGGCCCTGGCCCTGATGTGTGCCCTGCATTGTCCGCGCGGACTCACCGACTGGCTGAAGTGTATGGGTATCCTCAAGGAGCTCCCCCTGCGGAAGGGGGAGGCCAGGATGACCGTGCGGGGGTCCTCCACACAGACCGCCGCCTCCATGTCGACTGCCTGCCGTCCGCCGTCACACAGACTCCCGCGATAACAACGGGAGGCAAGAGCAGAGCGGGATGCTGAGCCAGCAGTGGCACCTGATCGCGACCCCCTGTCTGTGTGTGTGTGTGTGTGTGAGCGAGTACATGTAGTGTGCGTGTGCACCTCGCGCACTTTGCGCATGAGGTCGCACCCCATCTGCGCCGGGGCTACCTGCGGACGGCCAAAAACTGGACATCCGCGCCGGGGCCGGTCCGTATGCGCACACGAGCAGTCTGCTTGGGGGACGCGGCCACTGAGGCCCCCGGCTGGGCTCTAATCCCTGCGCGGCCACCTAACTGGTCATTTGCGCCGGCGTGTGCGCTGGGACGACTCGACCGTAAGGTTCTGGACTCCATGCCAAAGCGTTGCACGGAGCGATAGCGGAGTGCAACGCTTCACTGATAGTTTTGCTTATTCACTTATTTGAATTTTGTTCCTTAATTAAAGATTGTTTCGTTTTGATCGCTATAATGTATTCTACATCTCTTTCGAAAACATCTAAAAGGACATCGCTCGTTCTCAGAGAGTCAAGGCACCCATGCCAAAGCGTTGCGCGGAGCGATAGCGGAGTGCAACGCTTCACTGATAGTACCATTTCTGATTTCTGTATTAAATTAGGTTTGTTTGTTTGGGTTTGCTTCATTTTATTTAAAGGCAAAGCGGATTGCTGCATTGGCAGTATCTTTACTAATCTGCTGTATTAAATTAGGTTTGTTAGTTCGGGTTTGCCTCATTGTATTTTAAAGCAAAGCGAAGTGCAACGCTGCATTGGCAGTATCTTTACCCGCACATGCCGGCCGGTGCACG